AGAATTAGAGCCGAAATACACTAACGGGTAGATTATACTTTCACTGATTCGAATCATAGTATAATAGTATTTTACGCTAGCAACCAGTGCCAGACACGGTTCAATACCAATTGATTTATATATCGACTCCCGTTAATATTCGGATACCTTTCAAAATGCAGTAACTTTTTTAAAACAAGAATAAACGACTTGAATTTTTTTTAGATGATAGAGGGACCAATCTATTAGACCATAACACCATAACTAGAATACATTTTTTAAATTTTGCTATTGCTTAGAATGACAAAAGAAAATAGAAAACTCTCATTTTTAACTTTTTTATCTGAGTCTATAACGAAAATTTAAAAAATGTGCTTTGTAGATCTCGGTAAGTTACACACATGTTGACAATTTCACCGAAATCAATTAACGCAAAGTCAAGTTACAAGTGTTAAACAATTTCAAAAACTGCAGATTTCTCGCAAGTTTCAAAAATCGGAACAGAACTACGATTTTTGCAATCTTTAATTGTTTATTAAAGGATCGCTCGTATTAATGGTCAACCGATTTCGATGACATTTTCAGCATCCATATAACTTGCCGAGATCTACAGATGTAATAAATGTAATGTCTAGAAATGTAGAAATGTGAATAGAAATATTTTTAACAAGATTTCGATGATTCTATCAAAAATTTTACGATTCCAGAGGATTCTTCACGTGCTGTGCTTTTTGGTGGCAACAATACTAGTCATAACTAAGATAGTTGTGCTATACTTAAATAGAGTGAATATTCACAAGATGATTTCGTTTATGGAGGAGCATTTCTGGCACACGGATTATGATTTACAAGAGTTACAGATTCTTGAAGAGTGCAAACATAGGTCCTCATATTACATTGGCTTTTTTAATACAGTGTGTTTTATAACGACTTTCTTCTATATAACTCTGCCCCTTGTTGGTAAGATTATTTACAATATCCAATGTCTTCCACTAATTATTGTCGGTAATAAAAATAGTGACAATTAGGATTTCGTTACAGGAGAACTTCAATAGTTGTAATTGCGATATAAAATATGAATGTCGTTAGTTGGCTTGTTTCAAGAGTCGATTATAGTGATACTTATTTAATTGCGATTAAATGAATGAAGACAAGTAGTTGAAGTAAATATGTATATGCATTTCAGTTTTATTTTTATTTTCACTTATATTGATTCATTCAGTTTAATTTATGAAGCATTAAATTCATGATGAAAGTTTTTTACTGGAATTCATACGTATGATTATGGTATGTTGTTTTCAAGTTCGAGTGAGATAATACTTTTTATACTCACTGCATGAACGTTTCTTTCACTGCATGCTGAACCCTTCGAGTTTGAAATTGAATTTTGTATAACTATCGAAGTTTTGCTACTTTAGCGTAAAGACAGACAATATTTCAATTGTTTTATATTTTTTTTCTGTAGTATCTTGGGCTCTATACGTAATTTTAAATTTTACAAATAATGTCAAGGTGTTTTCCGATTTTTTAGAAACTTATTCTGGAGAGATTCGAAAGTTTCCACTAGACCCACATAACGATGCTCTTTTGGTCTCATACAAGTATGAGATAACATATTTCACGCAGGTATAATAAACGATTGATACTGAAAAAATTATAAATTGTTTAATTATTATGATTTATTAGATTTTTCATGCGATCCATTAAACAGTATTTTCACACTTCTTCGACAATTTATTCTTTCAATAAACTAATATTCATATTTTAAAAGATTAATGTTTTCCTTTAAAAATATCAAAACCTGTCAATACTTCCGTAGCAGAAACTTTAATACACTTTCTTGTGCATTGTTTCATTGATTTATAGTTCTAGTAGATTTCCATTATTCTGATTCGTAGAAAGCATTGACGGTATTCGATCGAGAAATTCTGCGATATGTTTCGCGATACGTAGAAATTAACATATAATCGGATACTAATTAATTGAAATTATGTATCATAAAAGAAATTGAATTTCCCGTGCTTTCAGGTTTGCACTTTCCTCATTTCTGCCTTTTACTACATCTGCGTGGACAATTTCATATGCGTCGCAAATTTTCAGTCTTCTACACAGTTCCGTATATTACAGTACAAACTCGCAAACATAGTTAAACAGATCAACAAGGAGAAATATAGTGGATCATTGGAAACAGTTCCAGGCTATGTCGCGGACAATTCTTATGCGACTTTTAAAAAGTGTGTTGAACATCATCAGCGGCTACTCGATTATTGCGATAAAGTGCAAACCATATTCTCGTTAGTTGGGCTTGCGCAAGTTATGAGTTTCAGCATGTTGCTTTGCATTGGTGGATACTTGCTTATGGTGGTTAGTATACCTAAGATCTAAAGTAATATAATTAAATTGTAATCTTAATAAAAAATAAAAATTCTCGATGTTATTCTTTCGTTATAAATTACAGTAAATTCTCACTAGAAGGCTCGGAGCTCGGAATTAAAAATGGTAATCGGCGGATACTCAAACACAGTTCTTCGAGCTTCGCGGCTCGTTTGCATAGTTACCGATACCTCGTGAGAGAGAGAGAGAGAGGGAGAGTGGAAGAGGGAGAGAGAGGGAGAGTGAGAGTGGAAGAGGGAGAGAGAGAGAGAGAGAGAGAGAAAGAGAGGGAGAGAGGAAGAGGGAGAGAGAGAGAGAGAGAGAGAGAGAGAGAGAGAGAGAGAGAGAGAGAGAGAGAGAGGGAGAGTGGAAGAGGGAGAGAGAGGGAGAGTGAGAGTGGAAGAGGGAGAGAGAGAGAGAGAGAGAGAGAAAGAGAGGGAGAGTGGAAGAGGGAGGGAGAGAGAGAGAGAGAGAGAGAGAGAGAATGAGTGGAAGAGGGAGAGAGAGGGAGAGTGAGAGTGGAAGAGGGAGAGAGAGGGAGAGAGAGAGAGGGGGAGAGTGGAAGAGGGAGGTAGAGGGAGAGTGAGAGTGGAAGAGGGAGAGAGAGAGAGTGAGAGTGGAAGAGGGAGAGAGAGAGAGAGAGGGAGAGTGAGAGTGGAAGAGAGAGAGAGAGAGAGAGAGAGAGAGAGAGAGAGGGAGAGTGAGAGTGGAAGAGAGAGAGAGAGAGAGAGAGAGAGAGAGAGAGAATTGTCTCCGAATTTCCGTCGAATGTAGGCCCGAGTAGCATAACTCCACTGATATTTTCTTAATATTTTCTTCATGCTTTTTTTCTTATAATTACAATTTGTGTAGTGAAATAAGATAAGTTACTTGCTACGTATGAAAAATTAAAAATAAAAAAGTTAAGTCATCATTTTTATTCCAGCAACACACACGAGATGTCGAGAACTATGCGAGTCGCGAGACTCGAAGAACTCGACTCGACTCGAGTCGCGACTGTGTGTCTTTCGATAACCGTTTTCAATTCCGAGCTCCTGGCCTTCTAGGATGAATTTACATTATTCCTAGCTGTATCTTCAAACAATTATTTCAGTGTTTCTTGTTCTCGAAATTCTTTCGTAGGATGGTGCTGAATTTTTCAATCGCGTGCTTTATTTAATGCACACAATCGGCTGCACCTCGCAGCTGTTTACGTTCAGCTACAGCTGCGATTGTGTGATGAGAGAGAGCGAAGCAGTATGCCAAGCCGCATATGATATACAGTGGACTATTTTACCATACAATGAGAGTGGGAAAATATTGCGAAGAGATTTGCAAATGGTCGTAGTGAGAGCAAGAGAGCCTTGCTACGTGACCGCCGGTGGATTTTTTCCGGTGTGCTTGGAAACATTTTCTAAGGTAATCGCTTAACTTGCGTGAAACACAAATAACATTTTGTGTAAACAATATTTGTATTGAACGGGCGATTCCACTTCGGTGGAAAATGTCACTGCAATGTCACAAGCAAATAAGGTCTTTTACAAAAGAAAAACGAAGCTATTTTTTAACTGTATCTGTTACAGGTTATTAGCACAGCCGTGTCGTACTTCACACTCCTGCGACAGTACTAATATTGCATTGAAATAAGGATGGCAATTTGAATGATGCAGGATTTTCGGATATTGTCACTGGGAGGATATAGTCAATCAATAGTTCACCTGTAGCACATAATAAATGTTAATATTTAACACAATAACAACAACGATAACAATTCTAATAACAACGAACAACAAATAAAACAATTAGTAAAAACTCATGGCACGCGTAGAATGAACATGTACCAAAATGATACTAACGTATCAAGACGATCGAGGCTCTGACAATCGTCGCTTCAATTACTCGCACTCGGTTTTGACCCAGCACTTCACGAAAAAGGGAAAGAATCGGAAGAATTAAGTCTTATGACTCGCATACGTGTACAATATTTATACATATAGAGCATGATGTTGATTTCAATGAAAATATTATGTTGACACTGTGGGTATTAATTGTTATATCTGTGGCGGCTACCTCCAGACCTGCCAGCAGAGGGCTAGGATAGCCTTACCGATGAGTCCTCTAGCGGGCCCCGGACGAAACGTCTCCCCACTCCTTTCCTTTCCCATCTCCACGACCTTCGAACCGCCGCCAAACTGGTGACCCCGACGTGATGTGAACTCTCACAACCTTCCGATCAACCTACATCATTGTAAATATTGTACATAGTAGCTTTAAGGCTCTGATGTAGGTTGATCCAGCTGGGATCAGGATCAGGTAACGTTTGCACTACCTCGGGCATTAAACGCGGTCAAGTCGAGTAGAGCTACGCAGGCATCCTTACGACCGCGTCGATGCCCACGAGGTATAGCAAAACACCTAGCATGGAGAGGACCTCCATCTTAGATATCGTTATCACTGGCAGGGGGGTATGTGGCGGCTACCTCCAGACCCGCCAGCAGAGGGCTCCTCTTCCCGCTAGTAGCCGATCCGTTCCGATCCCTATATATACACCGAGACTTCGTCCTACCCTTACGTCTAAGGCAAGGGCCCGCTAGGATAGCCTTACCGATGAGTCCTCTAGCGGGCCCCGGACGAAACGTTTCCCCTTTCCTATACCACACTCGAACCGCCGCCAAATATCAATAACCAATACTTTGAACAATTGTCAGGATTCCGATACTGGATCTTGTAAAATAAATGCCTTTATTGACCTAGAGGGGAATGCGGGGATAGAAAAGAGAAAGTTGGTGACAGCGTTGAAGACGCAGATGCTTGCTGATAAGAACCTCTGGTTTTTTGTCTACCTCGAGGGTAAGGTACCGTTGCAGAGGAAATCTGTAAGTGCTAGAATTGAAGAACGATTGGTGCGATTCAGTTACTACGCATGGAAAGAAAGACCAGTCCATTGTCCCCTTATTACAGGGCCATTCCACGCGAAACCGAACACCTTTTGCCAGGATTCGAAAAAGTTGCGAAACTTCTTAACAAACTATATTGGAATATATTAAATGTAGTTCTTTTTGAGAAAATTATTCATATCAAATATTTTGTTGATAAACATAAAAGATGTTTTGAAACACGACAATAAGTGCCAAATACAGTAAATTCTCCCTAACTGACCCTCAGCTTGTACACAAAAATGGACAATTTTGGAAGAAGAGATACGATTATTCGAGCAATGTGACTCGATTTTTTATAGTTACCGATTCCTTGCCACCTTCCCCTGGTCTAGAAACCTAAGCGCGTGGCAGAACGAGCTCATGAAGCAGGAATCAGTTTCATGAAACTGTTTGTGAAACGGTTTTGACGACATGGCAACATTGCGGCGAGGAATGAAATGTGGCAAACATGTTTAGTCATCTAAGATAGACAGTTAAGGTTATGTCAAGGTTGTGTCAAGGTTATGTCAAGGTCGTGTCAAGGTCGTGTCAAGATTGTGTCAAGGTCGTGTCAAGGTCGTGTCATGGTCGTGTCAAGATTATGTCAAGGTTATGTCAAGGTCGTGTCAAGGTCGTGTCAAGGTCGTGTCAAGGTTGTGTCAAGGTCGTGTCAAGGTCGTGTCAAGGTCGTGTCAAGGTTGTGTCAAGGTTGTGTCAAGGTTGTGTGAAGATTGTGTCAAGGTTATGTCAAGGATGGTTATGTCAAAGATGGACGTGCCAATATTCAAATGAGCAGTTCGGGAGTTGGATATTTCGACTCCGAAAAGTCTAAGCTGAGGGGTTTCGGTTGTAGAAATGACCATTTTTTTATTATAGTTGAGATATTTACAATATTCGACGAGCGTCCTTGCTGCAATTGCCGCGCCGCTCTCGAATATGGCGACTACCCCGCATGCCATCTTCCCCTGGTCTAGAAACCTAGCGCGTGGCAGAACGGGCTCATGAAGCAGGAATCAGTTTCATGAAACTCAGTTTGTGAAACGGTTTTGACGACATGGCTTCATTGCGGCGACGAATGAAATGTGGCAATCATGTTTAGTCGCTATCCTTCTCTTTCAGCTATCTTTCTCTCTTCCGCTACATCTTTACCGATACCCGTGGTCTCGGAAACATATGCGTGTGCCACCTGGCGGTCGAAAATATTTCTAATTTGGTTCGTCTAATGTCCGTTCGCACAACTGCAGCGCGACGATCAACTCCGTCAAGTTCAAATACGCGCTTCCCGGGTTAATTCAAGCTACTTTTATTTAACTCTTTATCTACGGCAGATATCCAGTCAACTATTAGTATAGTTCATTGAAAATCAGTGTTTCACGTTTACTTTTAATATTTTATAGAAGGTATACTTGTAATATATGTCATTAGGCTATTTGCGTTTAAATAACAAAAAGGGCCCGGTTTGTGATAATAACGTCGTACCTGAGGGATTTGAAATGTAACTCGCACGCCATCGTACGATACTTTAATGAACAAGCTCACTATGATCACAATATTTAGTCAGGGACGAGGTATAGGAGTAAACTTGACACCCAAAGCATTATCACAAACGAAGTATATAAGTGGACCCGATGCTCGAAAATGCGACTTCAGAAACCTCATTACCATTTCTGTGTCGCATTGATCGTTACCGATATTTCAGAAAATTAAAATTCTTAGTGAGCATCGAGTATTCCGTATATCTCATTTGCGTTGAGACCTTATGATTTGGCCAGCCATAAATTCAAATCATGAAAGTGAAACCATAAAGTCAACAACAATTTAATTTATTGATAAATTATGCCACATATCGCATCAAGGTAAAATTTCACAAAGTATTAGGATATCTATATTTTACAAATGAGATTTTCATATTTATTATTCATGTTTCGTACGACACGGAAATGGATATTATATATTGTTATTATATATTATATATTGTTATTATTATATACTACCATTATTATTACTAACATTTAAACACAAAATATGTTTAAATGTTAGTTACCCTATCAATATTAGCGACTTGTTCGTTGTGAACAAAAAAAAATTTGATAGGGTGAAAAATGCTATTGTGCCTTATTAAAGTTTTTCAAAAACAGTTGACATATTTGAAAAATACAACATCGTATATTGCATTTTTAAGGTCGACAATGCCATAAAAAAGGAATGAAATTTCTGTGCTGCAGTCTTATGTAGTTCACTGATTGACTGTTCGATTTTGGCAGAGGGCGCGAGAAAACCTCTGTTTTTTTAGCGATGTCGGTATTTCAGAACATGTGACACGGAACTTCATATGCTGTCCGGTCTGGTCTGATACCTCGTCTGTGATAATATTTAGCAGTCGATAGAAATGAAATATATATGATATTCGCTTCTTGCTAACATACCTAAATTCGTGAACTACCGGTAACATTGAGCGTGACACCGAAATGTTAACCAAACCTGAGGCAGGAAAGTCCACAATTTTGCAATGTCTGCAAGTACGCTAAGTGAATGATTCTTCTAACGAGAACTCCATTATCATTTGTGTGTGAAAATCTGAGGGTGGATTAAGTCACTAGTAATCGTGTTTTAATATAAATTAATAATTATAATTATAATATATTAATTACAATATTATTATAATTAATATAAGTTAATGATATAAAATAATAATATAATTAATAATTAATATTCGTATCAATCAGTTATTTATTTTCGGCGACAGCTACTTGACCAACTGTGATCATCCTGTTTTATGCGAGTCCAAAATTCTTTGATCTTGAACATAGAGGGCGCGAGGCCATAGATTCTTGAGTAACATCGTTAAATTTAATCCTTTAACTACTACAAAACTACTACAGACATTCAAATGATCGGTTTTATATTCTTTATTTTACAATTATTCAAACTATAAAGAATCAATCAAGAATGATTAATCAGATTTCTTTGCTCAAGCTTATATTGTAATACAATTGTTATACAAAGTAAAATATACACTAATCATTTTTAATGCATATTTATAAGACAGCTGAGAATATGTCTTGTCATTCATAATTATGTTTATGAATTGTAGGGAGATTCATAAAATAATAGATGAAACAATTATTTCTCCTATATCTGAAGGAGATATTATTTCAATTAATTCTAAGACAGTCTACAAAAAATACACAAGAAATATTATTCCAGTAGTATTAATACGAGATAGTAACAGTATTAATATTATTCCATTTCCACATATTCGATAGATATCTCAGATTATTCTAAAATGTAAATCAAAAAAATAAATGAACCTTGAAGTACTCTTCTATAGAAATAAAACTATTTCAATTACCATTTCCAACATATTTTTTTTTAATTGCACTTAGCTCTGATCATGGTTTACCTCAGATGTGATCAACGAATTGTTCTATGCCTTAAGCTTAAGGACGTCGAATTTATCTCGAGAAGAAGAAAGTAGAAAATTATTTATTATTCAGATCTCTGTAAACATAATTCTCCGAATAGAGAACAGACGTAGGTTCGTTACTCTCGATTTCACTAGGACCAGAACAGTACCTCACAGAGTAATCACTGGCCATACCTTGTCTACTCCTATATGTCGTCAGTGCAACGAGACACCAAGCGTGGACATAAAACGCAAACTACGGACACGAATTACGAGAGACGAAACGCGCATAAAATCGCAACACATCCAGCGTGGTCAGGAACCACGAAACAAGTAACATAGAACATGATATATTAGAGACAACGTGCAGAGTATTTTTGATGCAATAAGATATCTTTAGCAGAACATCAAATATGTTGTATGTGTAATAAGAAATTTCATAAGAATTATCTTCCTGCGATGTTCAAAATTGATTCTTGTAATATTTCTTCAGGTCAGAATAGATCATA